GAATTTCTAATTAAGTTTTACAGGGATTTAATATCGACTATCTGCAGATTCCATTACAGCTCGCTCTTCCTCCACTCGCCTGCAGCTAGTGTGTACGAACTTTTGGTCAATTAACACATCAACGAGTTAGGAGCAAAAGTCCGGCCCAGTCAGAACAGAACCGGGAACTAGCCAATGAAATGGGGAGTTCCACTTACCAGTCAGAACATTTTGCCGTAGTCGTTGCCTTTGCAATTGCTGCTGTTGATCCGCTTCAGGGATTAGGGAGTAGTCGGAAGAACTCCGTCATGAAAGGAGGAGATGGCTGGGCGCCATCTAGTCCAGGGGTGCGGCGTTCTCCTCACCAGATGAGAGCAAAGTAAGTTATTAAAATCTGTTCAGCAGCGTACTTTGGGAATCGTTTAAAGACTGTCAGTGCATGCATATTGAGCAGTGGTCAGTTATTGGTTGAATCTGAAACTCCTTTTGATTTCGGCCATTTGGGATGTGCCCAACACCAGAAAAAGGCAACCAGAATAACTCAGCCTGGAGTTACCTTCATGCCAGTAACTAAGTATACTTCATGCTCTCAGAATTTATTTCTAATTTTTGAGATACCTCCTGGAAAGTGCTTGGATAACCTTGTGTTGCAGAACCTTAAAGAAGGGCTTTTCAGCGAGGAGTCCCTTTCTGGACTGTCTTTTAACCACATTCATGAACCAAATGCTCAGAGGTAGAGTATCTTGGAGTAATATTGTAAGAATGTTTACCTTCCTCAATGAAATCGATTTAGTACTCTTGCAAGTGAGAAGCAAGTTGGCCTGGCCAGATTCGCATGGAAGAATCTAGATACTCGCAAGGTAAATTGATACTTTTTTTCGTCTTGATATTAACCTATCATTGGCGCTTATCTATCTCACATTTACTTCGCACCACCAACTTTATAATCATTAAATATATTAATTTGAATTATTTTGATTATTTGTAAGTGTATACAGTTTGAATATAGAATCTGTACATGGCTGGCATCGGATGCCGGAGTTGGGGCCAATAGCTGTAACAGGCAACCCGTCACTCACCCACCATTCGCTTATTCACTCATTCACCCATTCACTCATTCACCCATTCCCGGCCCATCATTTGCCAAAGCCTCGAAGCAGTAACAATTGATATGCGTGTACGTGAGCTGAATGCCGAGCTCCCTCGACGGAGGGGCAATTGATTTGATGTAAGCGGAAGGCGGCAGATGCTCGGGGCGTGGAAGAGGGTGAGGGAGGGGGACGAGCGGGAGAGATTGAGGCAAACTTGCAGGCCAAGTCAGTACAAACTTTGGAAGTTGGCGAGCTCGAGATGTGAGCCTTAAAGTGTATCAGGCAGAATGGAAAACTTCTGCTGATGGCACTTCTAGAGTGCAAGGTGGGGGCGTGGGCACGATTTCCTGCAGGAAACGCCAAATGTGTCGCCCATGTCTATTCTTATCAATTAGCCATTTGTCGTATCCGAATATGCAAACAAACGGCCGACAGCCGGAGCATTGCCAACTTCATTCCATAACTCAGTCCGCTTCAAGCCGCTGGTCATGCGCTGTCTGTATGTCAGACGATTGGGGGAGGTGCGGAGGGCAGAGTGGTCATGGACATGCACTTATAAAAAAATGCAATCGGCTAACCAGATAACTTTACTAATTTCTGGCGGGGAACACGGCGTGTAATGCTAAGAACCTGTCGGCTACATCTGGCGCTGATGATCAAATATTTACATTTTCCGTAGGAGGACTCAATGAGTTTTTGAAATACTCCTCAAAAACGTTTATTCGCGCTTAGTAGCTCAGCGGTCACGTCGGAGTTGGTTACTCTTGACCTGGGTGGCAAATGATCATGCCATCAGCGTCCTGAGATTGCCGGTACCAGGTATCTTAAAAAAGCCAAGCAATGAACTAATTTTAAATTTTTAGCAAAATCGAAATACAAGACTTGTTATTGTAAGGGAATTATTATTTAAGACAAGTATGATGCCTTTTGTGTGACATTTCTCAGAAGTTCTTATTAAAGGAATTTTTCACGATAGATTCGAGACCAGTTTAATACATTTGGAGGAGAGTTCCAACCCGGTTTATACTTGTTAACATGGCATATTTTGAAGTTCGGTAACAGAATCTTATATTTATCAGCTTTGTCAAAATGTTTACCTTAAACTTGATACGTTGCGTAATTTATACTTTATATAACATAGACCATATTTATATACCTCTATACTTATATTATCCTGCGCCTATATGGTTTCCAAATTGACAACGATCGTTAAGCCGCATTAATAGTGTTAAAACTCGAAATATTCTTGTTGAATTTCTAAAGTAAGAAATTATACTTCTGAATATATGATCTGTGTTAAAAATATATTAAAGATGGATACATTCCTAAAGTATTGTGTTATTTATACAGGATCAGTAAATATATTCACACTATGGCTAGATTATCCTGTTTAAGAACACATATTTTTTATGGAAAAATGAGTCGGTGCGACATGAGTAGAGGGAGAAAATGAATCGAAAATGAACACAAGAACTCTAGATTGCGCGATGGTCGAAACTAGTTTGTTACTAGTTTTGTTTGATTTTGTAGCCTAGTGTAGTCAGTATTTGCAGTCCGTGCACTTTTTCCCAATTAGTCATTTCCGAGTATGCAAACAAACGGCCGACAGCCGGAGCATTACCGCCTTCAAGCCATAACTCACTCTTCTCCAAGCCGTTGGGCATGCGCCGTACGTCTGTTTGTCTGTCGTGTTCGACTGTCTGCCAAATGGTCACGGACAAGAATTTACACAAAACTGCTATCAGCTCGACAGATAAATTTTCTAAATATCTGGCGAAGATCTCTGAGCAGAATGCTAAGGGTCTGTCGCCTTCAACTGCCTCGTTATCGCAAGTAAATATTTACATTGCGTTTGCGAGAACCCAAGGAAATTATCAGGCTAATACTGAGATAACGCTGCCTTTCACTCAGATAAAAAAAAGGACAGAGGTCAGAACATTTGTTGTCTTAGTGCTAACCTTACAGAAGTGACCTAGGTAGATCGTGCATTCAATTTAAATCCATTTAAACAAATCGAGTCAAATTACTACGCTGGGAAAATGTTGTTGTTTTTAAGTTATAAAAGGATGTTTTGTTATTAACCGTAAGAGAATATTTATAAAACCACAACGAAATCCTATCAATATCTATTTAATTAACTTGTTCAGGGCTGCAACTTATGATAATTGATTTTGGTTTGTTGATAATAAACTTTTCATATTTATTTCTTTAAGTTCCGCTTTTGGTTACGCATTAGCATTAGCATTGGTAGGTATTGGACCAGCAACAGCTTAAACATTTAATTGCGTTTTCAGGGAACAAAGTAAGCTAGTTACCTGATTATTAAGAATGTATTGGGGATCCCTGAAGGCTCGTGAACCAATATAACTGCAGATGCTACATGGGAACAGCTCCTAATGTGCTCAAGTAGCGAGCTTACAAGTCTAACCATAAAGGGCAGTTTTTTTTGTTATTATATTTTTTAGTCTCCTGATCAGACTTAGTGATAATGATCAACAATGTAGGATCGGAAAAGACTTCTTCTGCACTGTGTTGCAAGTTTAATAATTCAGATTTCGTTTGCAGACTAGAAATGTAACGTCGCCTAAATGCATTTTATACAAATTATTTGGAAAATCGAAACTAATTCTCGTTAAACAGATACAGAAACGTTTCATGAATGAAAGCAAATCTGCAGATTTTCATAATCCATTTGTTCAAAAACTGTTTTTGAATTAAAAAGCACGGAAAGTTCTTCCAGAACAGAATATATATTGCCCAACACTACAGCCACCTGCTGTTCGTTTTATCAAAACCTTTCTTGATAGGCGATCTGGCTCGGAGCGATATTAGTTGATTAGCCGGAATCACCGAACAACTCGGGCAATTCGATGTAGACCCTCGAAATTGTGTCACCGAGTCAAACATTCGAAAGTGGCAGAGAACAAAGGGCCAGATCAAGCGGTGCGACCAATCAATCAAATGTGAGCCGCGGAACCACGAGCTCACAACTTTTGCGATACAATCTAAAAGTGCCCTGCCCCATGCCCCTCGCACCATTGCTTCAACAAGCCAAGGGTCCGTAAATCATATATATACGCCCGTAGAATATGATATATAGCATGCGGTAATGTATGTATCTGGCCAGATCTAAGTTTGTCGCGATGAAATCTTAGTCTTAATAGGACTTAGCCCGACCATAAGGCCACGCTGAAGTGAGTTGTATGTGCGGTATTGAAACGACGGGCACAATTATTGGAATTCCATCACAGTCCGCGATTGGCGGGCGTCCGCCATTTCCAATATCGACTGCAAAACGGATTCGCCGGGAAAACCGGGCGAAAGGAAAAGTCGGGGAGTGTAAAAACAAATCAACAGTTCAAATTCGCTCTGGTTTTTTTCCGCTCAGGTTCCACAATCATGTCCAGCGGAACGAGTGGCAATGAGTACTCTTATACTCTTATACGAATCGGAAGAGAGCACGAAGTGTGTGCTCTCATCTGCTGTGTTAGAATGGATTGAGAGAGCACAGGTGGAGAGCCAGTGCCTGGGAAGGTAAAATCAGGTAAAAGTGACAAGCAAAGAGGAAGAGAGCTGGAAAATTCGTTAGGTATAGGCGGGATATCATTCGGAAACACTATGTGGGGACTACATATTTCGGGAAAACCAAATAGAAGCAAAACACAACAGCTCATATGTTCAAATCATTCAGGAGTTATATAAATGTTGAGTCCTACAATGACATTTTAACCGTCCTTTGCAGCTTTTTCAAGCTACGCACTTGGGCTTAGCAGGCCACCGCACAGAGTCCACAGAAGAGAGCCACGGAAAGAGAAGGAGTTCCAACTGAACGACTCTCCCTCGGGCCATCTCTTAGCATCCACAACTTACATGCAACTGAGTGGTGAGCTGCAAGTTACACCGCTCTGCGGATTCAATCGCTCGTCGACCTTCGTTCCGCGCGTTACAAGAGTCGAAAGGAGTCGCAGTCGCCGTCGCCGTTGCCTTCACCGTCGCCGCTCCCCCGCCAACTGGTTAGGCTCAGTCTCATCCCAGCGCTCGTGGCAAGAACAACACTCCGCCTTGGCTCCTGGCAGCGCGGTCGCGGCTCGCAGAGAATCTCCCCCGTGCGTTCGTTTCATTTTTGTCGTCTGTCAGCCAATCGCTTCGAGATCTGGAAGATCCGAAACTCGCGCATCGCGAGTGTAGAGATTCAAATTGGAAATGGTGCCTGCGCCCACCAGCAGCGTGAGGCAAAATGTGTGAAATGGGCTACCTGAGAAAATGCCCAAGGAGTGCTCAAACATATCGAAACAAACCAGCAGATAGGGTATCTTTAGTGCCCCAGTGAACGTGAACAGTGCTTGAATTTGATACGCTATTTTTTGCAACGCCTTCTGACAAACTGCAAACGGAATACAATCAATACTCTCTAAGTCAACTCTAACATAATTCGAAACGCTTGGAATATATAGGTGAGTTGAGAGTGAAAAACGGCAAATCGGTCGGATGTACGCCCGAGGATTTCAAAATTAAGAATTTTATTAAAACTGAGGTTATCGATGGCTGCCACATTCCGCCACATATGTTTCTCGTTTTTCCTACTCAACGGTAACATTAATAACCCCAAATTAAGGAGTAATACTGCCGCCTTGTTGGGCCAATCAAACGTACCTTCTAAGTTTTATAAATAAGAGCTAGGTCGTAAAACACCGAAACAAGAAGCGCTGTCGTCGGATGGAGAAAGATCTTACCCAAACACTTTGTGTCTGCAGGTTTTCCCGACGGCTGTTGCCCAGATCGTTATCTCGCAGATGCAGTTATGCGGCTAGATTTCCCTTCTCACCATTACAACCTCTCTTCTTTGGCAACTTCACACTTCGCCAGACACGCGATGAGGCTGGGTCTCTGGCCCCTGGATTTCATAATTTCCCCGCTGTTCTTAGAGGCAATTAAGTGGAAATATGCTAGGCAATTAAAGCTCCATAGACCTCGCTTTCGCTTTCCCTCCATGCACTGTAAATACCCCAAATGATTTTTCTTGCCCACTTGTAATGGTTCGGAGATATAGGATTGGGATTGAGTTTTCGAGGGCTTGGATACCCATATCGTAACTGCTAGCTGCCGAGATGCACCCGCAATCGCGCATGCATAATTAATTTCGTGTAAAAATCATAATTACGTCAATTAAAACTTGTGTAAACAAGTTGGCGGCATGCGGCAGACGGGAGATTTCCCCGATCTGCCTGAAGTGCCCTTCATGGCCCAATCATTATAATATCGCCCAAAAAACTTTTACTGGCCGATTGAGAGGGAAGGCACTGAAAAGGTGCTTGCCCAGGCGTTTTGTTATAATATGATAATGCCTTTTTTTTGGGCCTAATCCAGAAAATAGGTTTTTAATGATGAGCATTTGGAAGTCCCAGCAAAAGATCTCATCGTACTTATGGGGAAAAAGTGCCCACAAACATAAACAGCATAATATAAAGATTGAATGAGGCATGTCCGCCATGTTTTAGCCCCCGTTTCCAAATTCAAGTTCGCAGATTTGCAATTTTTGGGCTTTTCAAAGTTTCCAAATTGTTTACTCTTTTTTTTTCCAAATGCAAGCCGACTTCAGAATGCATTTTTCTTTTTCCTAGCAAAGACACTTCGTCAGAAATATACATCAAACCCAAGAAGATGTTAAGAATTTGACAACTTTTGATGGATTAAGTACAATATGAATCAAATGTAGAGTTTACCTTTTGGTAGTATTAAGTGATGCCCTCTACTGTTCTCCTTTCTTTATTTTCTTTTCCTCAGGAAACTTACAATTCGTATGCTTTTGGATTCAAATGAGTATTAATTATTCGAACCAAAAATCTAATGCGCGCTGGGTTTCGGTAATTGTGTTATTTAAGGTTTAGATTTTGATGGTCTCGTGTAGTGTATGATTGCGAATGCCGAAAACGTCATTACAACGGCTTTTATTTTGTTTGGTTGGCACTAAAATACGGATTGAAATTAAACCCAAAATGTAAAAATAAAATGAACTCATTAAAGAGCAATGTCAGTGCTGAATTAAATGTCCAAAGAATATGCCGCTCGACTTAAACAAGCCAAATTCATCCGACGTGCGATAATTTATATTAGTCTCTGCCCCTCCTCAGCCAACTCCCATTTAACCTCATTCTGTTCACTTCACTTCCCCCAGGTAATTTTTCAGGGGCTGACGAAAACAACCATCAACAGAATTTATGCCCAAGAAGTGTCATTCTCGTGTGCATTTCGAGCGCTTTTGCTGCTGGTTCGACGAGATCGTGTCGCTGCCCACATGGCTGCCACCGCATTGGACCCTGCCTGGGGTCTGGGGTCCTCTAATTAATTAGCATCTAACAAAGAATAATGTTTCCTGCGGCCCTCGACGGTGGCCCAGCCGACTGTCATAACTTGGCCGCAAGTTTATTTGTTCGGCTCGCCACTGAAGGCGGTGCACAAAAGGCAGCCCCGATCCGAGAACAGATACAGGGAGTCAGAGATACAGATACAAAGACGGCGCACAGGTGCCGCATTTTCTTCGACTTCTGGAACCCCTCTCCCTGGCGCAGGTACAAAATGCCACATTCGTGGCTGCCTCTCTACCTGTTCTTAGTTTTATTTGGCCAGGTTTTTACTGCCAGTGCTGGTTTGCTTAATTTTTATACTCGGGCTAGCTATTGTGTTAGCTTGTCCAGTAATTACTGCTGCCGCAGTTTTGTACTGCCCCAGCTGTGCTGTTGGAGGGAATTTCCAACCAAATTACTTGGCGCCAGCTTCATTCTTTCTGAATCTTCTCTCTGTTCTTGAAAACTCAAAGACCTACTCTTGTGGTTTTTGGCAGTGCCTTCCCCTGTGTTTTCCTCTGCTGCTGCGCTTAATTAGTTCTGGAAAAGTTGAGTGTGTTAAAGTATCCGAAATATTTCAAACTGTCAAGAGTTCGGAGAGTGGACAGTAAGGAGGAGGATTCGGGACGAAAGCTAATGGACCCAAATTTGAAGGAACTTAGGAATGTTTTTCGATGTGGCAGTAGCTGCCACTGCACGATACATTGTGGCTTAGATTCTACCTAACCTCAATGCTTCCCAACTCAGTACGCATCCATCGGCATTTTTCGACCCGTTGGGTTTTCCCACACTTTAGCATGTTGCCCAACGACCGAACCCTTCTTTTCACGGCAGACCACACAACCATTAAGATTTGCTACTTGGCTTCCATTGTGTTGGTGACCCTTATACCGGCCCCTTGTGTTGGCCCGTGTTCTTGAAGAACACTTTTCCATAATGTATGTAAATAGCCCGGAAGCAACCTCCGATGTGAATTTTATGGCGAGGATTTCGTCGAGCTAATTAACTTTCGGTTACAGTTCACTGCGCGAAAACGCGATCGTCGATCGCAGAGCATATTAAATTAGAGTTTGAAAGACAGAATTGGCCCTCTTATGCGCCGGAAATGGATCTCGCTCATCAACTTGACGACGACTTCCCGCATGCTCCTAGGCCCTTGTCTGCTCACTGAATGGTTGCACTATATGCGCCGTGAGGCTTGGTCTCCCAGTCGATTGTCGGAGGCATTCAAGCACATCGCTGCCGCGTGATCATCCCGAAATTTTACATCGCCTGAATATTTTACGCATCACAAAATAATGTAGCGTCATTAGCCCTATTCGGGCTGCAATGGTCTCAGGGTCGGCCCTGCCGACTCAGTTCCAGTTCCATTCCCAGACCAAAAGCCCAACCCACAGATCCCCTAAATGCGGGTGGTCCCAGAAGCAGCAAAGAACCGATACAAATGATTTTGCTTGGTAATTAGGCTCTTAGTTGCATCGAACACAATCTCATTTGTAAGTGTCCGCTCCTGTAATCGCTGACAAAGCATTTTCGTACATGCAATGTAATGTAATTCTTCGCCGTCAACACGCTCTGAAACCAAACGATAGGTGTGTCCCTGAGTGGCCGTCCCGGTTTCGAGAGTGCAGGCCAGATCAACCCTAGGCCATCAAAAGGACCCGCCCGCTTCCCAGGGGAATTTCATCGAGAGCCACATGTCGTCAGGTGTCAGAAATGTTCCTAGTAAAACCTGTAATGGGTGTTCAGCTAGTCTTCGAGGGTTGCTTTCAGAAAGACAACATGTTTGCCTAATTAGAGCCCAGAAAGGTTTCCAGGGCTAAGAGCAAAATGTTGCTAAGCTTGGGGAATGAATGGGGAGGCCGAATATGATTTTACAAAATCGAATGGAGCCAAACCACTCTTACTGCAAATTAAGAATTTCATAACATAATTCTCGCTTTTCACTTTACGTATATTTGCCTTTGTTTTGATTTTCATGATCTACGTTAAGCTCTATGAAAACTATACCCATTAGGAAATACTCGTACAAGGTCGCGAACATTTTGAATGATGGGAGTGGAGCGCTTTGGAAATAGTATACATTTTAATGTACTTCAAAGGTTAAAGACTGTCTCCGACTATCAATTTGACATTTTAACAAAATTAATCTAATCCCGATTTAAGAACAAACAAACCATAAAGAAATACCAAGAAATTCAATTTAAATACATTTTCTCAGTGCACGAAATATATATTTAATATGCAATTCTGCTGTATAAACTGAAACCATATTATACAAAATATATATTTTTAAATACTTCTTGAATGTTCTGACGATATACTTATATATATATATATATATATATATTTTATACTTATATATACTTTATAATGTGGGAAAGCCTTTTAACAACTGGTTAGGCTGTAAAAAGTAATAACTTATTAGTTTTTTGGTTTGTTATCGATTGTTACGGGATGCAACAAGGGAAGGGGAAATGGCATAATATAATACATTCCCCAAATGAATTAGTAATGTAAGGAAACTGTAAGAAACGTAGTCTTAAATTAATGTCATAGTTCCGTTTTTCCCGTAACAGAAGTAATTATACTTTGCCCCTTGGCACATCATCTGGGCTTGGCAACTCATTAGTTCCACGGCGGTTGCTTTCTAGTAGGTATGCTTAGGAGAAATTATAAAAAGGAAACCTTCATTGCCAAACATCAGACGAAAACAGACAACAGTCAGTTAACCCACCGCAAAAGCCGCAAGCGGAACCCAAACGCTTGTTCTTCAACTTGCCGCCGTGTTCCGGGTACCACTCAAGAACAGCTATCCCAGTCTGGTCAAACGGAACGGCTGTGACACAATTTCTGGAACTACTCGTACGTGTAGGTACAAGCTTGATTCCAATAAACCTCCTCTAACCGTTGTTGCCCCTGCCAAGTGTGTTTGATTGCCGGGCCAGAAAACTGTAATTTTGAGTAGGTTTGATTTAAGTAATGTGTATGATTATTTGTAAATTAGTGTCCTGGGAAGAACTGGGTACCAACTCTCGATGGCTCTGTTGTTACTATCACTTACTGGGCCCGTTGTAAAACTTAATCAAGCGTTACTAATTTGCCTGGCA